TGTCGTCATATTCGAGCTCGAATTGAAAATGCATAGCCATAATTAAAGAAATAAAAAGCCCGGGAAAAGGACACGATTATAGGTTTCCTTCTTGTCAAAACAAACCACGACCACGACCTGACGTCACGATATGACGTCACGACAGCACAGGGTGCCCAAACCGATTTTTTTATGAGATTAAAAGCGCTTTAATTAGCTTACTAATTATTTCTCGAAATTTTTAATACGATTTTCGAAATCAGCGTTAAATTCTACATAATATAAGTTCAACTTGCTGAGAAGTAGAGGGTCCCTTTAATATTGTGGCCAAGAAATCCTTTTTTATTCATCAAGCTTTCATTTTGCAGTAAATATAATTGTTAATGAATTACATTATAGGAAAATACAACGAGTTTTTATCTGCAGCCCTCCGGTTCCGCAGCCCCTGATATATAGAGTTGCCTGAACACGTAGAAAGTCCATAGATAACGCAGTTATGTACTTACTGTATTCTGTACAAACTTTTTCACCGCTTTCTATGTTTATAAATCGATAGACAAAGTATCCRCCGCAATTGCGAATAACGACTGATACTCTTTTGRCACAGCACTCATCATCAATTCGTACGCACATTGTCGTGTCCAACGGACCCTGGGCTAAACTTGGCATGTTTCCATCTATCCAGAATTGACTTACATCATTGCATGCATATTTCGAATGTTGAGTGCACTCCGTGGAAACTTGATTACCCGCMAGTCCAGCTATGCGATACCATGTAAATGGAACTTCAATAACTTCTGAGTCTTTTGATCTAAAACTCGACTTTGATCCACTTTGGTCCTTTCTTCGATCAAGATCATCCAAAGTGCTATATTCAAGGCATTCTTTATTTGATTTGGCGTCTGCATCTATAAGATATGTGGCCAGATGAATATTATATCGCTCGGAAAGACAGAATCCCCCTATGTTTGATTGCTTTCATTCTGACTCACCAGGAATACGTTGACATTGAAATTTCGTGTATGTGATGTCATCCACTGAAAGCGAGGCATACTCGTCTCTTTTTCCTTCAATTACAACCTTAATCAATTGATAAATCAATT